TGTTTCAAACATGTTTTGAATGTGCAAGCACATGTTTGAAACATTGTTAGAACATGTTGGACACATTTTAAACACATTTTAATTCAATGATGGGATTGTTAAATTGTCCATTGCCATGGCATCCACAGGAGTAGGGCCCAGGATCAGAGAGCGCCTTCCGCTGCAGGACCACCAAAAAAGGGACGTCAAGGTGGTCAAACGCCTCGCCGGTTAAGCCGACGAAGATGTGCAGACTCCAGCCATTCGCTTATGTCCAAAGTTGTGGCGTGACGCCGGGGTGTGGTGCCTCAGCTTGACCGTACAGGTCGGCTGCGCCCCTTGACGTCCGCTGGGGGTGTTCTGCAGACCTGGCCCCCCAGCCCTACTCGAGGCAAAGGGCGGAGGGAGGCATGCTTCAGTGCGGGAGCTAAACGCCCGCAGGCGCGCCGCCAGGTCTGCGGGCGGCCCGCGGGACAGGAAATCAAGGCCGGGGTCGTGTATCATCAGCAGGTTGTCAACCGTCGTCGCCCTGGAGAGCGCCACGTCGACAGAAGGGAGCATGCAGAGATGAGGAGGAACGCCAGGGGGGGGGGCGGGCTGGTCTTCCCCCCCCCATCCGCTGGCCCAGGCTTGGGTGCCAAGGTGCCGGTCGCAAGCACTGCCTCGTCTTGAGCAGACACCTTCGCAGAGCTCCCCAAATGCCCCCCTGTGGGAGCCAGAGAGGGCTTCGGGCGGCGCGAGCTTGTAGTCATCATCGTCGATCGAGGACCCAGGTTCGAGGATCGGTGTGTTCGTTCTGTTGCGTTTTTTTTTTTTTTTTTTTTTTTTTTTTTTTTAAAAAAAAAAAAAAAACAATATATATATATATATATATAAATAAGGATAACTATTGTCGATCACCTGCCCTGGTGCACCTGGCGTTTTTCAATTAATGTGCCCCTCCAGGGGCTCGCACCTTATTCTTTACAAGGGGAATATTGGGGCTCAGCCTGTGTTGTTGGCGCCCGGTTTACAACAACAGCGGCTCCCGCCTGATACTTCTTCACAGTGTATTCCAGAATCGCGCTCTCGCGCGGAGCTCCCTCATGATGTATGCAGAAATCGTGCTGTCGCGTGGTACTTCCTCGCAATGTATGACGACGCCGCGCCCTCCAGGAATCACGCTTGCGCTCTGGCCTGGCTCACACTATCGCTCGAGACTTCCTCGCGATCCATTCAAGACTCATGCTTTACCAGCCCGCGTGCCCGACCTGGCCACCCGGGCCCGCCTTCCGACTCGCCCTTTGGGGTCTAGATTTGCCAGACTGGTTCTGCCACGTGTTTTATGCTCCTAGCACCCCGCCTGCTCATCTCTCTCGTTCTCCATCCTTCTCCCTCCCCCTTCCATCCGTCTTCTTTTTCCTTGCTTCAGGGGCTGCGCCAAGTACGCGTGGCTTGTATGGAAGATGCACACCCACGGGTGGGTATTATCGAAGACGAAGAGGGCGGGTATCGAGGGTTTTGGACATACGTATTGAATGGCACACGACCAGATAGTAACAATCATTCTTAAAATGATTGATGCTGTTGTTGGATGAGCGGGGCGCCGGCCGCCCCCAAACCCCCAAGCCACCCAGCAACAGCCACCGGGGACCTTCGCCCCCCCCTTGGGGGCGAAGGCCCCCTCTGTGGCTGCTGCCGGGCTGCCAGGAGTGCTTGGCAGTCGTTTTAGGATCCTCGCGGAATGTGCAGGAAGTTTTACAGGACCGGGACCCATGCGGAACACCCCTTCATGAGCCGTCTAGGCTTACTGCGGAAACGTGCGGTGGCCTTGTAGAATCTCTGCGGCACCTGACAGAAGACCAAGTCAGATCCCAACGGAACCCTACAAGATGACAAAAGGATACCTACTTACGGAACCTTACAGGAGCTTATACTGTCCCTATGGAATTCCAGAGGACTGTTAGACGATTCCTGGAACCCTGTAGGAACCGTACAGGATCCCAACCTTCCAAAAACTGTATACGACCCCGCGGAGCCCCATAGAGTGCCTATGGACCCCAGCGGGTCCTCACAGGAGCTGTGCAGGATCCTTGTTCAAACTTATGGGAGGCCAACAGGATCCGGAACCGTAGAGGAGCCCTATATGATCTTGCCGAACCCTACAGGATCTTGATGGGATCTTTGCATCATTCTATTGGGGCCCTATCGGATCTTCGCGGGGCCCTACAGGTGCCTTAGAGGATCCCTGCAAAACCTTACGGGATCCGTATACAGTCTCTGCGGAACTTTACCTGACTTTTCTAGGACTTGTACGGGACCGTGTACGAATCCTATACGATCCCTACGGAACCTAATAGGAGGTGTGTGCGACCCCAGCGGATCTTTACACGTTGCCTATTGGAGCCGTGGGGCCCCCACAGGCGCAAACAGGATCCAGCGGAATTCTACAGGAGCCTGGAGGCTTGTGGGATCCTTATGGACTCTTAAAAGAGCCCTACGGGCCCTCACAGGATGCGTATGGGATCCTTGCGAAACCCTACAGGAGCCTTATGGGATCGCCGCGGAGACTTGCGGGAACCCTGCAGCACCCATGCGGGCCTTTTACAGGAGCCTTGCAGGATCCCTGCGTACTGGCACTGGAGACCCGTAGGATCCCAGCGGAACTTTCAATTCAAGTCGCCTTACTGGATCTTTACAGAGCCCTATTGGGGCCCACAGGAGCCCTGCGGAACCCTGCGCGAGCCTTGCAGGATCCTTGCGGACCTTCGAGAAGCCCTTTGCGATTCCTGCGGGCCCTACGGACGGCCAGCAGGAACCTTGGGTTTTTTGAATGATCCCTGCGGAGCCTTGTGGGGTGCGTGTTGGGTTCCTGCGGGGCCGTACGCGAGCCCTACATGATCCTTGCGGAACCTCACAAGAGCCCTACAGGATCCTTGCGAGAGCCATTGGGCACAATACAGGACGATTTCGGACACACTCAGGAGCCTTATAGGATCCCTGCGGGACCTTGCGTAACCCTACGTGAGCCCCATCGCGTCTATACGGGCCCCTTGCAGGAATCTGCCTGCGACCCCCACCGAACCTTACAGGCTACCTCCAGGATCCCATTCGGAAGCCGACTGGAACCCGACAGGATTTTTGTGGAGATTTCCAAGGGGCGGGTCTGACACCTGTGGATCCTTGCAAGATCTTTACAGGATCCCTGTGAGAACCTTACGGGATCTTTCAACAACCCAGCCAGAACCCTGTGGAATCCTGCAGGAGCTTCATGGAGATCCTCCAAAATCTTTCAGGAGCCTTACGTGATCCTTGCGAAACTTTACAGGATCCCGGATGGGTCCTTGCGGAACCCACCACGAGCCTTATATCATGGTCCTTGTCGAACCTTACGACAGCTTTATAGGTACCCGCCGGATCCTTGCAGGAGCCGTATCGGATCATCTCGGAACTCCACTGGAGCTGTGTGCGATTCCCGTGGAACGTACCTTACCTAGCTGTCTGTCGGATCTCTGTGGTGTTTCGTAGGATGCCTACAGGAACTTAACGGCAACTTATAAGACACCGATCGGATCCCTTTGGAACCTTACAGCGCACCTAGTAGGCCCAGAGGACCCTTGCGGAATCTTATGGGAGGGAGGCCTAGTGGACCACTGGAACTCGGCAGGCGCCCTGTGGGATCCCTGCGCAGCCTGACAAGATTCCTATCGGATCCCAGCAGAACCCTACAGTCGGGGCCCTGAAGAAGGAACCCTTTTCGTTGGGGAGGGGCTCCGCGTTCCTTAAGTGTTTCGCAGCTTGCCTCAGGTTTTCCTTGTGTTTTCGATCGGAAATCGAAGTTTAACTTATGGAAGAAAGGGGCCTCGTTTCTTATTTTGGGTTCCTTAGGTCAAGGCCCCGACTGTATCGGCGCCGTGCAGGATCCCTGCAGGACCTTTTAGGAGCCTCATGAGTGCCCGGGTTTTCAACAAAGGTCCCCCAGAGGTTCCTTGCGCTACCCTACAGGAGCCCTTAAGATCTCAGCGGGGCCGTGTGGATCTCATAGGGCCCCAGCCAGGATCCAAAACGGTTCCGTACGCATCTTGTGCGGCACATATAAGGGTCCTATAGGGTTCCGTAGGGATCCGATAGGGCACTTGCAAGGTTTTGCCGGGATCCTATAGGTTTGCGTAAAGATCCTGTAGGGCCCCGATGCGATCCTACAGGGTCCCCAAAGGGATCTGACAGAGGTCTGAAAAGGATTCTCTAATGCCCTTTGATCCGACAGGGCCCATATAGGGATCCTACAGGGTTACGTAGGGATTCTGTTAGGGTTCCGTAGGGATTGTGTGATGTTCCGTAGTTAGGGTTCCGTCGCGATCCTATCGGATTCCTCGGAGATCCTAAGGGGGTCATATAGGGATTTTGCAGAGCCCCTGTAATTATCCTGTCGAATTCTGTGGGGATCCGGCGGGGCTCTGTAATGACCTTTGAGTGTTTGGCTTTTTCGCATCACCACCAGTGGGTGGACCACCAGTATAAATTTGAGTGGGGAAGGATGTGGATGATGAGGAGGAGGAAAAAGAGGAGGAGGATGAGGAGGAGGAGGAGGAGGCCCCCCCCTCCTACCTATGGTGGTGCCGGTGGAACACAAGCCCACCATCCTGGGATCCTGAAGGGTTCCGTAGGGATCCTACAGGGTCCTTATAGGGATCTCACAGGCCCAGTACGGATCCTAGAGGGTCCCCATAGGGATCCTAGATGGCTCCGTAGGGATCCTGCAGGGTTGCGTAGGCATCCAATTTGGTTGCGTAGGGATCCGTAGGGTTCCGTGAGAATCGAGCGGGGTCCCGTGGGGGTCCTAAAAGGTTCCGCTGGGATCCCGTAGGGTTCCGCCAGGGTCCTGTAGGGTCCGTTGGGATCCTATGGGGATCCGTGGAGAGCCTATATGGTTCCGCAGGGGTCCTGTAGGGTTCACAGGGCCCCTCGCTGTTCGCTTCTCTGGTGCAGCTGGGTGGTCGACCGCGGGCTGTCCCTGGAGGGGCCCCGCTCTGAGCCTGCACCAGCTTCTGGAGGGTCGACGGCACCAGCAGCGGAACCGTCAGGGCACGACCCCCTCCATGGGGCCAGCAGGCGCAACCGAGCCCGCGCGCGCCCACCCGCGTCGGACGGCGCGCCCCTCGCGTCGCCGGTCGATCACTGCTGTCTGTGCTGCTCCGCCCCAGCTGTATTCCTCCACATCCACGTCCCCTTCCCCTGCAATTTCCTAGTTCCACCTCATCCTCCATAGCCGTCTCGTGTGAGGCTTCTTCGGCTCAGTGCTCCACGCGTAGCACATGGCCGCACACGGTGCCCACAGTCCGCAGGTTTGCTGTACCATCGCCGACCTCTGGTCGAAGCCATGCCAACCACATGTGGCGCTCCCGTTTGGGAGCGTTTCTACATGTTGGCCGTCTACGTGTGGGTCAGCATGCTTCAGTCGATGCTGTGGGCGCCCATTGCAGCGGCGCCCGACGCAGCCAAGCATGAGTTCCCTGGGCTGACGGATGCGGCGATCTTGCTGCAGTTGAACTGGGGACCGATCGTGCAGATGGTCTTCATCCCCGCGGCCATTGCCCTGCTCGGCAGCCGCAACGGCCTGCAGCGCTGCGTGCGGGTCGGCGTGGTCCTGTCGGCATTGGCCGCCGCCCTCCGGGTGCTGGCCTTGCGGCTCCCTGCGGCCGCGCGGGCCACCTTTTGGGCGCAGTCGCTGCTGCACGCTGCGGGCATGCTGAACGGGGCCTCCGCCAGCTTCCTGCAGGGCACGCCCACCCGGTTCTCCGCCGTGTGGTTCCCCCCAGGGCAGCGCGCGCGTGCCACAGGCTGCGCCTTTGTGGGCCTCGGCCTGGGCCAGGCGCTGTGCTACGCCCTCAGCCCCGTGCTGGTGCGCGGCCTGGACGAGCTGGGCAACAGCCCGGGTGCTACCAAGCGTGCCCCTGCCCCAGGTTGTCCCCAGAATCTCCATGGAGCCCCCCCCCCCCAAGACTCCAGAGCACCCCCCGCGAGGCCCAGAGGGCCCCATATAGGGACTCCAGCGCTGCGCCCGGCAGCCATGGGGCCTGCCTCGGGCCAGGGGCGCCCTCCCGGCAGCCCCCGGAACGGCCTCCTGCTCCAGCTGGCCGTGGCCGCGCCCCCGCTGGTCTGCTGCTTCGCGCACTTCCCGGACGCACCCGGCGGCGCAGGGGACCGCCGGGACTGGAGCGCGGGGGACGCCGGCGGCGGCGGAGCGTTACCAGCCTGGAACATGTCCCTATCCCTATGCTGGGCACCTCCTCATCGCGACGCCAACCTTAGGGATCCCCTTATTCTCTGAGGGCGCATCCCTAAGATTGCCGTCGCCTTTGGGCGTGTCGATCTTAGGGATAGGGATACGTTCGAGGCTGGTAAGGAGCAGGCGCCCTGGTGGTGCCGTTGGGGGCGGCGGGCGGCGCGGAGCCCGGCGGCGCCGGCGGGGCGCCCAAGGGCGGGTGGCGGCCGCTCTGGGCGGCCATGCGCAGGCCTTCGGCGGTGCTGCTGGCCACGCTCTGCGGCCTCGCCAACGGGCCGTACCAGGGCTGGGGTGCTGCGCTGCCGACTATCTCGGGGGCGGAAAAGAGGGGGGGGATGACTAGGGGGCCCAGATGGTCTGGTACCGGAAATTTTCGGTAGCGATTTCGACGCACCCCGAATTTCGGTAGCGACCGGATCTTCGTTTGAGGGCGTTGAAACAGCGGATTTCAGAACGCTCTGATACCGGTATTGGGCGCTACATTTCGGTATTTCGGTAGCGACCGATCTCTACGGAGCGCTACCCGAAATTTTCGGTAGCGGACCATCAGGGGGGTGGGTGGGTATCATGGCGGGGGCCATGATATCTCCCCAGATCTCATGGCGCCTCCTCTTATTTCATTACGTCCCTGGCCCCCCCGCTGGGCCGCGCACGTGCCGCCCGCGTCATGATTTGCACCCCCCCCTCTTGGACACCCCCCTCTTTGCCGCCCCCGACCATCTGGAGGCACCTCCACTACACGAACTCCCGGGCCGACCTCCTGTCCCTGGCGTCGATGGTGGCGTACACGTGCGGCTGCTACGTGGTGGGGGAGCTGGGCGACCGTGCTTTCCGGGGCCGCCTGAAGCTGCTGCTGGGACTCCTGCTCGCCGCCGAGTTCGGAAGTTTTTCGTGGCTGTGCATGATGCTCCCGTCCAATTTCCGCGGTGAGCCCCTTATCGACACAGGCTTTCCTTCAATTCTCGCTGCGGTGTTCCTCACTGGTGCGTTTGTTGGTGCCACGAACCCCATATCAATGGAGTTCCTCGCCGAGGTGACGTACCCTGCACATGAGGGGGTCTCAGGGAACGTCGTCATATTTTTGACGCAGGTCTTCACCATGATCGTCCTCGCAGGGGCTCCGCATCTGGATCCGCTGGCGACGACGCCTGTTATGGCACTCATCATTCTGTTGTGTGGACTGTTGCTGCTGCCGGTTGAGAGCCAGTACTTGCGAAGTGCAGCCGAGGGATCTTTGTGAGGTGCGCCGAGGCCAAAGCTCAATGGACACCTTGCGGGTGCCCTACTTAGCCTCCCCTCATGGGACGGTATTGCTCGGTTTGGGGCGCTCTCGGTGCAGTCTTGGGCCTCGTCTGGTCCCCTCTTGTGACTTACTATCTTGCACGTTATTGGCCATTTTGTGAGGCCTCAGACAAGGCGAGAGCGCAAACAACATTGAAACACCTCAAATTCTGAAAGGTTTTGATATTTCAGAGGTACTCCAGATTTCGTGATAAAAGGGAGGGGGTCTGGACCCTCCAAGACAAGCCATTTCAGACCCCCCCCGTGGGAGAACCCTCCAAAACATCGTCCCCAGACCCCCCCAGGCCCTGCAAGATAGCCTGGAAGAGACCCCCCCCGAAATGAGACCCCCCTCCCTTGATTACGAAATCTGGGGTATCCTTCCTTGGGAGGCTCTGTGACCCTTTGGAACTGCCTTGGGGCAGCCTTCGACCCTCTGGGAGGCATACCGGACGCCATGCGGAGCCATGGGCCGTGGCTGAGAATGCTGTGCCATCTTTGGAGGCCGTGCTGAGACGTCTGACGCCAACTGGAAGCGATATTTCGGGGGAGAAAAAGATACGGATACGTGTTGTCCCCCTTCGTTTTCGGCCTTTCCTGGTCCTCCCGGGGAATTCTCGTTGTCACCGCTGGATTCGCCTCGAAATTTTGGTCAGAACGCACCCCAAGAGAGGTCCAGGGACAACACGTATCCGTATCTTTCCGCCCCCCAAAGAGTGGGCACTGACTTCTCGCGGCCCCGGTCCGTATTGACCCGAAAGGGGAGGGACTGCCCCCTGACGGTGTGGGCGGAGCATCTCCGAGTCAGCGCCCGGCCGGGGCATCGGCGTGGCATGGACTCCAATACTGCCCGGTGACGCCCCCCAGGGCGGCCCCAGGCGGCCAGACCAGACCGACGGCAGACCCGAGACACGACGAGACGAGAAACGACGAGGCAGGGCATGGCCAGGCATCCCAAGGCAGCAGCCCCCCCAAGTCGGCCCAACGATAGGCCCAAATCCTTCGAACACACGATGAGCATCGATGCTTTCAGCCTCCTCATTCTTTTGCTTCCGAAGGGCTCCAGAGGCCTAAAGATGGCCCCAAGAGGGTCCCAAGAAAGCCCGAGGAAGCCTCGTGAGATGCTGCCGACGAGACGCCCAGTGAGATGCCACGGGGGAAGCCCCGTGAGATCCAAACGAGGCCCCGTGAGATCCCACCCAGGCGCTCCAGTGAGACCTCACCGATGTCCCGTGAGGTTTCACCAGGGCCGCGTGAGATCCCGCCCCGAGGGGGTCCCACCGAGGAGGCCCCGCGATACCTCACCGAGGCTCTGCGAGATCCCGCCGAGGAGGCCCCGTGAGGCCCCCACCGAGGAGGCCCCGCGAGGTGGCACCGAGGCGGCCCCGCGAGCCCCCACCCGAGCGAGGGCCCGTGACGCCCCGCCGAGGCCGCGCGAGAGAGTCCCGCCGAGGCCGCGACGCTCCGCCCGCGAGTTTGGCCCGCGCCACCTCTCCACGGGCGGCCGCCGGGCGTGCGGCCGCCGCCGCGTCGTTCGGGCACCCCCGCGGGGGGGGGGGCGCGGTGTGCAGCGACACGCGGGGGAAGCTTTCTCGTCCTCCTCATCTTCCTCCTCCTCCTCCTCCTCCTCTTCCTCCTCTCCTCCTCCTCCTCCTCCTGCTCTCCTCCTCCTCCTCCTCCTCCTCCTCCTCTTCCGCCCTCCTCCTCCTCCTCCTCCTCCTCCTGCTCCTCCTCCTCCTCCTCCTCCTCCTCCTCCTCCTCCTCCAAACGGTGCGGTGACCGCACCGCGTGGTGAGTCTCGGGGGGGTCGGGGTCACCGCGCAGTCTTGAGACTCGTGCCGTTCTCCGAGGGCGTCTCGGGCGACCGGGGCCTCCGAGGTCCCAGGGTCGCGTGGTGACGGACCGCGCGTTGCGGTCGCTGGGAATTCCAAGGTCACCGCGCAGTCCGTCACCACAGGGTTTTGGTGCCCCGGAGAAGCTGGACCTCGCCCTTCCTGGGGGCTGCCAATCCTGCGGCTGTCGCCGCGTTCAACGCGCCCCGGGGGGGTCCAGCGGAGTGCAGGGACACGCAGATGAATCGCCAGGAAGGAGAGTGGTCCCGAGGGGAACAGGTCCAGAGGTTTTCCGCCGTTTTGAGGGCTCTCGGGGCCCTGCACGGCCCTGGGACTGCCCGAGAACGGATCAGGATGAAGAACTGGTCCAGGCGGAACGGCCCTGGGGTCCAGGACTCGTTTCTCCCTCAGAACTCGTTTCCTTCAAATTACATGAATTTGGACCTCGTCCTCTCCGTCCCAGGGCCCTCTTGAGCCGTGCTGGGGAGCTCTCGTGATGGTCTCTTGGGGCTCTCCTGGGCAATATTGGAGTGTGTTGGGGCTTCTTGGGTGCTCAGTGTGGTGGGGGGGATGACGGATGATGGAGGAGGGAAAAGTGATAGGGAGGGAGGATGAGAAGGATAATGCGGATAAGGCGAAGTCA